ATATATGGCTAATAAGTTATCGATAATAATGAACTAATCTAGTCTTATAAAGAGAGATATCTATATTAAGACAGATATCTACATCAATTACAAGATAACTTAAAATTAAAAACTATCATCAACTATCTCTATCTCTACACTAACGATGTAAATGTTATCTTAATAGAATTATTATATCTAATTTTTAAAATTTATTTATATTCATGACCTCCATGTTATGTCCTTGAAAATTAAGTGCAAAAATCTATCTCAACAATATATTTTTAAGAGCTGACTCATTTCTGCATAGACTCATATAAACTGTGTCCTCATCAGAAAAAAGAAAGTATTGTTAAACCTTTAACATTTTATCTAAATGTGTTTTTTATCAATTGGGAAAAAAATGTTATGATGATGATGATGTCTGTTTTTCATGAAGCACTTCACTATTTTTTTCATCTCGTCGGATCATGGGCAAATCCTACTCTCATGATCTCCAATTGTAAAACTTTAGTGGTTTTGCTCACCTCCTCTCCCCCTCTCTCTGATTGCGCTTATGGCTGGATTGCATACAGGTCTTGATTGGCATTCTCCTCGGCATAAAATTTGGCGTCTCGGGCATAGGTGACCTCTCCAAAGGATACGCTAACCTGGTTGTATTCTTCATTTGTGTCTATGTCGCTGCCTTTGCCTGGTCATGGGGGCCACTCGGTTGTCTTGTCCCCTCTGAGATCTTCCCCCTTGAGATCCGCTCAGTCGGTCAGAGTATCAACGTCTCCACCAACCTCCTCTTCACTTTCGTCATTGCTCAGGCCTTCATTGCTATGCTTTGTCACTTAAAATTCGGCCTTTTCTTCTTCTTTGCCGGATGGGTCTTTGTTATGACCACTTTCATGTACTTCTTTATGCCCGAAACCAAAAATGTTCCCATCGAAGAGATGACTCTTGTGTGGAGGAAACACTGGTTTTGGGGAAGAATCCTCCCTCACGATGATGATGCCGCCCTTGAAATGGCATCCAATGGACAAGGAAAGGCTGTCTGGTAAACCTGTATTTTATTCTCATTTAAGAATTTTTGGTTGTCTTGCTTATGTTCATGAGAAAGATGATAACTTGAGTCCAAAGTCAAAGAAGTGTATTTTTCTTGGTTATACGAATGGGGTTAAAAGCTATATAATGTGATGTCCAGATCCTAAGTCACTTAAATTTATTGTCACGACTGATGTTAAGTGTGATGAATCTGTCATGTTAAAGCACATTCAGAATGATGCAGAAAAAGAAAATTGAAGCAGTTGAGGTGGAGTTGACAACTACAAAAAATACTCTAAATTATGTGTCAGAAATTCCCTACGAAAGAGTAGACGAAGATGTTAACCATGAGAAGATCGTTGAGTCCACTCCACTTGGTACAGTTTTGAGGACATGTCGGTTTATGCATTGGCTGCCACAAGCCAAGAGCATCCACTTTTAAGGAAGCTACACAGGATATCCACTTTTAAAGAAGCTACACGGGATATCCACTTTTAAGGAAGCGACACAAGATAATGACAGTAGCAGGTAGATTGAAGCAATGGATGAAGAAATGGAATCTCTTCAAAAGAATCGTACTTGGGATTTCGTGAAGTTGCTTAAAGGAAATAGAGTCATTGGTTGTAAATGAGTCGATAAGAAGAAAGATGGGTCACTTGAGACTGATGGTGATCGATTTATGACACGTTTGATTGCAAAAGGTTATGCACAGAAAGAAGGTATTGATTATAATGAAATTTTCTATCCAGTTGTGAAACACACTTTCATTTAGGTTTTACTAGCCATGAGCGCATTGTTGGATTTTGAGTTAGAGAAGTTTGATGTCAAGACTGCATTCTGTCATTGAGAGTTAGAAGAACAGATTTCTATGACTCAACCAGAGAGATTTGTTGTTAAAAGAAAGGAGGACTATGTCTGCAAGTTGAAGAAGTTGTTATACAGCCTAAAGCAGTCTCCTAGGCAGTGGTACAAACGTTTTGATACATTCATGATTAGACAAGGGTATGTCAGAAGTAAGTAAGACAATTATGTCTATTTTAAGAAATTTACTGATGATTTGTTCATCTATTTATTACTTTATGTGTATGATATGTTTATTGCTGCGAAGAGTTCTTTAGAAATAATAAATTGAATACTCAGCTTGCTAGAGAATTTGAAATGAAAGATTTAGGTTCAGCAAAAACTTTTGTGCGTATGGGGATTCGCAGAGATCGAAAGTTGAGTAAATTGTGGCTATCTCAAAAGGAATAAATTGAGAAGGTCCTCGTTAGATTCGGGATATAAAATTCGAAGCCCGTGGTTAAACCTCTTACTGCATCTTTCAGATTGTCTGCAGCATTATCTCCAAGTTCAAATGCTGAAAAGGAATACATGTTATGTGTTCCAAATACGAAATCAATTAGAAGCCTTATGTATGCAATGGTTTTCAATTGTCCAGATATTTCACATGCTGTTAGTGTTGTTAGTAATTATATGGCTAATCTAAGAAATGAGCATTGACATACGGTAAAATGGATTATGCGTTACCTGAAGGGTATATCAGATATGGGCCTAATATTTGATAGAGATAACAATTTTGGTGACAAGGTTGTTGGGTATGTTGATGCTGAGTGTGCAAGTGATTTGGACTATAGGAAATCTTCTACAAGTTATGTGTTTACACTTGCAGGAACTCCGATCAGTTGAAGGTCGATACTGTAAACTGTGATTGCCTTATCTATAACTGGAGTAGAATACATGGTTGTTATTGAGGCTGAAAAAGAAGTCATTTGGTTGAGAGGGCTTGTAAGCGATTTGGGCTGACGACAGGATGAGACTGTTATTTATTGTGACAGTCAGAATGCCATACATTTGGCGAAGAACCAGGTATATCATGCAATGACAAAACATATTGGCGTCATACACCATTTTATTCGTGAGATCATAGTTGAAGAAGATATCTTGTTACTGAAGATTGACACAAAGAATAATGTTGCAGATATGTTGATAAAGCCTATTCCATTACAGAAGTTCAAGCTATGCTTGGATTTGACTAATGTGTTGCCAAGGTAAACGCCTATGAGGGAGCGCGTGGAGAAGACAATCGATGATAATTTCTTTTAGAATTCAAGTTAAGGTGAAGATTTGTTCATATTTATCTTGAATTCTTGAATCCTTAATTTTAAGGATTAGTTTCCTTTAATTTAGGTTTTCTATTTATTTGGGCAGAGCCTATTATTAAGGATCTAAGTTTATGGATAAATCCTACTTAGATTAGGATAGTAGATAGGGATAAAGTTCATTTTTTGATAAAGTAAGGAACGTTGAGATTGGTTTGACGTACTTGTCTTTGGGGCTTTATTCTCTTTATATAAAGGTGATTTTCTTATATAAAGATGATTTTCTAGAGAGAGAAAGTATGTGTGGAAAATATAGGTCATATGTGGGTGTAATTTTGGGTTTGTCCTCCCTTATTGAGATATATTATAGAGAGAGAGAGTGCATAGTAAAAAAATTGAGGAAAACTTTTGGAGGTTTTTTGCAGAGAGAAAAAAGTAGAGCAGAAGGCTTTGTGATAGATTGAGCCTCTGGTTCTCTCAAATAAGTTGCCTTGTAATTTTTTTTCTTTGATTTAAGTGAAAAACATCGATCGTTTTCGTTCGTGGATGTAGTCATATCTGTGACGAACTACGAAAGTCTTGGTGTTCTTTTTTTGTAATACATTTCTTGCTTTAAATTTGTTGCTTGTTGCTTGTTTTTGTAGATTCTTTTTCTCGTACTTTATTTGCCAAAAATCAACCCATCATGTTTAGAGCTTTCACACAGAGCAATCAAGATCGGGAGCATCGA